TATAGACTAGACTATAGACTAGACTATAGACTAGACTATAGACTAGACTATAGACTAGACTATAGACTAGACTATAGACTAGACTATAGACTAGACTATAGACTAGACTATAGACTAGACTATAGACTAGACTATAGACTAGACTATAGACTAGACTATAGACTAGACTATAGACTAGACTATAGACTAGACTATAGACTAGACTATAGACTATAGACTAGACTATAGACTAGACTATAGACTAGACTATAGACTAGACTATAGACTAGACTATAGACTAGACTATAGACTAGACTATAGACTAGACTATAGACTAGACTATAGACTAGACTATAGACTAGACTATAGACTAGACTATAGACTAGACTATAGACTAGACTATAGACTAGACTAGACTAGACTAGACTATAGACTAGACTATAGACTAGACTATAGACTAGACTATAGACTAGACTATAGACTAGACTATAGACTAGACTATAGACTAGACTATAGACTAGACTATAGACTAGACTATAGACTAGACTATAGACTAGACTATAGACTAGACTATAGACTAGACTATAGACTAGACTATAGACTAGACTATAGACTAGACTACTATATAGACTAGACTAAGGGACAGGACTATAGACTAGACTCTAGGACTAGACTATAGACTAGACTATAGACTAGGACTATTAGGACTAGGACTATAGGACTAGACTATAGACTAGACTATAGACTAGACATTAGGGACTGACTATAGCTAGACTATAGACAGACTTAGGACTAGACTAAGACAAGACTATAGACTAGACTATAGATAGACTTTAGACTAGAATATAGAATAGACTATAGACTCGACTATAGGACTAGACTATAGACTATAGATATAGACTAGACTATAGACTAGACTATAGACTAGACTATAGACTAGATATAGGACTGGGACTATAGACTTAGACTATAGGACTAGACTATAGGACGAGGCCTATAGACTAGACTATGAACAGACTATAGACTAGACTATAGACTAGACTATAGCTAGACTATAGGATAGACTATAGATTCGACTTATAGACTAGACTATAGGACTAGACTAGATCGCATAGCTAGACTAGACATTAGACATTAAACTAAACTTATAAACTGTTTTATAGACCATAAGCTGCCGACTAGACTACAGACTAGACTACACTATAGGCTAGACTATAGATTAGACTATAATCTGGACTATATACTAGACTGTTTTCAAGACATTAGACTAGACCATAGACTAGGCTATAAATTTGTTAATAGCTTTTAGTTTTATATTAAATTTAAAATTCTTTTCGTTTTCTTTAACTACTATAAAAATTTCCTGATTTATTTATTATTCCTAAATAAATAACCTGTTTCTTTGAATCGTTACATTGTTTACACTAATTTACACTTTGTTTTTCTCCTTGTTTACTCTCTTGTTTTAATTCTCTTTTCCCTCTTTCGCTCTTTTAAACCTGGTTTAAAGAAAACAAGTGCTGCTCAGGTGAAGTTTGACAGTTTGTTGCTGCTGTTTTTAATTCCTCTTCTTCTTTTTGTGATCAGTTTTATTTTGTTGTTGTGTGTTCAATTTTTTTTTATTATATTTTAAAAATATTCACGTATTTTTTCATAATTTTACGATAAAACATTTAAGCCACAAAACAAAAATGTTTGTGTTAAATTTTATGTACAAAAAAAAGCTTTTTTGTTAAGGTTTTTTGCTAAAATTAGCTTGAGATTATTTTTAGTTTAAATTTAAAAATTATTTAAAATTAAAATTCATTATGTACCTTTGTTTTTTTTTTTTAATAAAATTTTTATCAAATTTTAAAGGGAAGTATTAACAATATTTTGCTTTTTAGCAAAAATAAAACTTGACCAGCAACAATTACAAAAACAACAAATAAACATTTTTTTTCATATAAAACTGCCAACTGGTTAGTTAAATAATTGGTTGGTTTTCACTTTTTTTTCACTTAATGCTTTTTTATTATATTTTTTTAGGGTAAGAAAAACACAAAAAAAAACTTTGTTTAATAAAAAAAATTATTTCCTGGTTGTTTTTCTTTAATTTACTTCTTTTCCATAAACTTTTCTTAATTTCATACTTTCATTTCTTTTAACATATTTTTCTAACGATTGATCAATTTTATTTATTTCTTGGCAATTTTGTTGTTATTTTTCAATTAACTTTAATTAGAAAATCAATCATAAATATTTTTCTTTTCTAATAAATTTATTATTATTTTTTTTTTTTTGTTAAATTTTTATAGATTTTTTTTATTTGTATTTTTATTGGGGTTTTTTTCTACTCTCCCAGTTACACTAACGCGTTTCGTTACGCTTCGTCAGCATTTCGATCTTTTCGTTGGAACACGTAATTTGCGACTGACTGTTTGTCAGTGTGGAAACTTTGAGTCCGTCTCGTACGTTATTTTCTTTAGTGTTTCTGGGTTTTTGGTTTGTCGTTTTTACTTCATGTTTTTTTTAACTATAG